TGATAACTTAACTAAATTAGAAAAATCACCAGTCTGTGGATTAACAAATGAAGTTCCTGCCTTATCAGATTCAACATTTTTCTTTTTTTGTCGGTATTTTCGCTGAGATTCATTATACTTTTCTTTATTATTTTCCCTATAAATTTTCTGTTTTTTCAGTACCATTTCTTTGTTTTTTTGATAGTAACTTTTCATATATTGACTTTTTTAGTTTTATTATTTGATCTGTCTTTATTTATTTTATAGTAATTTCGATTATTTTCAAGCTTCTTTTCTTTGTTTTTTTGGTAATATTTTTTATTATATTCACTTTGTTTTAGTTTATCTCTTCCATTATTTCTATCCGTGTCCTTTTTCATAATTTTTAATTTTGGTTTAAGCATTTCTTTATATTTTTCCTTTTGAGGATTAACCGACGATTCAGCCCCATCATTTAATATTTTAGTAACATCCTTTTCAGCATGTCTAGTTAAACCTCTTCGAATTGGAACAGTTTTAACAGATATTCATAACATCCAAGTGAGGATCGAAACGATTAAAAAGCTAGCAGGTTTCATCCTAGACAAATTTAAAGATTTATTTAAAAATTAACGAAAAAATAATAAAATTTAACTTAAAATTGAATTTATTTAAACAAAATTTGGGAAGGAAATAAAAATGTAAATTGGGTATGTTTTTGTATAAAAATGTGAAAAACTAATAGATTTATAAAAGTTTTAAAAGGTCTATAAGGCTAGAGTGTAAAAATATCAGACAAAAAATATACGAGATCTCAAAGGGCAACCCTTATTACTTTTATAAATATAAAAACAAGTAAAATTCATTGAAAGGAAAGTGCAAAGTCGAAAAAAGCAATTGCTTAATAATTAATGAAATATAAATTGATGTAAAAATTGGCGTGAACTTTAAAAGGTTACCATTACGATCAGTGATGGAAAGGTTCCAGTTCGAGAACCGGTCGGTACGGTAGAACCGGTTTGGAACCGTAACCTTGGAACCGGTAAAGGTCTGGAACCGATTTGGAGCCGGTTCCAAAGATACAACCCCTAATGATAGGTAAAAGAAAAAGAAGTTAGCAAAGGATGAAAGGATACTTGAATAAAAATTTAATTAGGGCTACTCATGAATAATACATTTATTATTTGGACTCTAAACAGCGGGGCTGGCAATACCTATTTCAAAAAGACTGAGGTTTAAAATATATGTTTTGAATGAAATTGGCCAGTTTTGGATGGGAACAATAGAATTTATTTGAATTCAGTAAAAGATTTAATTACCCAAGTTTAAGATTTCAGATTATTGATTTATTGGAAACGCCACAATGGCGAATAAAAATGAAATGCAACAAATTTTAAATAAATTAATTTCTATTGAACAACGTATTTCAGAAATTGAAAAAGCACAAGAACAGCAGCAAACAACTACGACAACATCTGTTGATGTTTCAGCAGTTTTGACAAAAATGGTTGAATTGGAAGAAAAATTGGGTAATTTGGAAAATTTAATTTTAAACAAAAACATCACAAACAACGAAGACCCGGCTCATGCTATGGAGCGTCAGCGTTCCTTAGTATTGATCGGCGTCCCAGAAAATAATGAAACAACAGCAACAGCCAAAAACAAATTTGATCGTGAAACTGTGGAAAAGCTGTTCGACCGGTTGGGAGTCGAAACTGAAGCGGTTGTTTACCGCCTTGGCAAAATCCCAACCCCATCAGGTGGGCCGCGTTTACTCAAGTGCGTTCTCCCCGCTTCTTATTTACAGCGTTTTGCTCTTCGGCAGTGGAAGTTCAAACTTCCTGAAATCCGAACAATGCCAATTTTTAACCGTCTCTTGATCAGGCCGTCTTTGACACGTGAACAGTTGGAAAAGGACAGAGAACAAAGGGAGATGAATAAGAAAATGAAGGAAGCTGAAAAGAACTTACCAAACCCACAGGTTTCGATACGTAAACAAAAAAACTTTTGAGGTCTTTTAATTTTTTAAAAATTTTCTTTTGTAACACTAGGAGTCTTCTCAACAAACTTAATGAATTGCGTATAATGTTGATGTCCAATAAATTCCATGTCCTTGCTTTTTCCGAAACTTGGCTTAATTCTAAAATCGATGACAGTGTAATAATTCAAGGTTTTAATTATCAAATAATCCGTTCCGATAGGCAGTCCCGTAAAGGGGGTGGAGTGGCTATTCTTATTTCCGACTTAATCCCCTTCCAGAAAATCAAGGTCCCTAAAATTCCAAATTCCGATATTTGCTGTATTGACGTCTTTTCCCCCTTGAACCAACAAAAAATAAGACTCATTGTCGTTTATCGACCAACGACAAAAGAAACCCTGGAACATCTTACCTCCCTTATTGATTATTTAGTACTTCTTTCATCTATCGATTACCCTATTATATATTAGGCGACTTTAACTTCCCAAACCTTAATTGTGCAAGCCCAAATCCATTCCCAAACACATTAACACCTTCTGAATCTATATTTGCGGAATTTTTCCAGTCAAGCAATCTTGAACAAATTGTCCAATCCCCTACTAGGAATCAAAATTATCTTGACCTAGTTCTTACTCCTAATACATCTTTAACATCATTTCTTTCTGTCGAGGCTCCAATGGGGGGTTCTGACCATAATTCTATTATTTTCGACATTACGCTTAATTTTCAACTGCAATCTAAATCTGCCCATAGATATCAATATAATAAAGCCAATTATCAATGCATTAATAGTATTCTTGCCCATATTGATTGGACTTTATTCTTTTATGATTGCATTGATGTTGAATCATGTTATAACAAATTTATAACATTTCTTCACACTATCATCCAATCATATGTACCCATCTCAAGTGGACCACATTCTATTAATCATCTTCCTGTTCATATTCAACGACTTGACCAATATCGAAAAAATTTATGGAAAAGGATCTCCAAACCTTGCATTAGGGAAAAATACATAGAAACCTCTAATAAACTTGAATATGAAATTTCAAAATTTATAAGGAATAGGGAAAACAAAAAACTCAGTAATATCAAAACAAAGTTTGATTATATTTCATCTTTCATAAAACCTAAAAATTTAACCATGCCCTCTCTTATCGGCCAAAATAATCAACACATTTTCTCAAACCAAATTAAATCAAATATTTTGGCCGATCAATTCTCTTCTGTATTTTCCAATCAAAACCTCTCTTCCCAAACCTTTTCTTTCTCAAACCATTCCCCAATACAAACAATACAAACAATACAAACAATACCCATTGACCCACAAATAGTCTTTGATATGATATCAAGGCTCGATAACTCTAATAACACATCTCCTGATGGTGTTCCAAACATTTTTTACAAAAAATGCAGGGATACACTCGTCATCCCTCTTACTCATATTTTCTCACTGTCAATTCTTAGCTCCAAAATTCCATCAATTTGGAAAAAAGCTATTATTAATCCAATCCCAAAGAAAACAAATCCGCAATATCCAATAGATTTTCGACCAATTTCACTTCTTTGCTCTTCGTCAAAAATACTTGAAAAAATAATCGCAAATGAGCTTCAATCATTTATTGAATCCAATAAAATTTTGCCTCCATGTCAGCATGGTTTTCGTAAATCTCACTCAGTCTCAACACAATTACTCGAAGTAATGGATGACTTCACTTATGCCTTGGAGAATAAAAATTCCATTGATACAATTTATTTTGATTTAGCTAAGGCCTTTGACACGGTTCCTCATTCACTTCTACTCTCAAAACTTTATAAAATGGGAATCCAAGGAAATATTCTTCCCTGGATAAATGATTATTTATCAAATCGTACATTTACTGTGCGGGTATCTAATCATTATTCCGAGGAAAAACACTGCACCAGCGGTGTACCTCAAGGATCCATACTAGGGCCTCTACTATTCATTACTTTTATATCTGATCTCCCAACGTATTGTGCCACACCAGGAATAACTCTGAAACTTTTTGCTGACGACCTCAAAGCTTATAATATTTTTAAAAATAGAGTTAATGAGTCTCCTCTCCAAATTTTTGTAAATAAATTCTCAGAGTATTGCCATCTTAACGGCCTTAAAATTGCCATAGAAAAATGTTCAGTCTTATATTTAGGAAACTCTAACCCATCAACTAAATATTTTATTAATGACATTGTCATCCAGATTTCTTCAGAGGATTCAGTCCGGGATCTGGGCATACATTTCTCTCACGATCTCAAATGGGATAAGCATATCAATATAATCACTCGTAAAGCAATCAGATGCTCATATTCCATTTTCAAATCTATTAAAAGTAGGAATCCAAAAATCCTTACAAACCTATTTAATATTTATGTCCGTCCTATTTTAGAATTCTCCTTGTCTGTCTTTAATCCACATCTTGATAAAGATATTAAATCAATTGAAAAAGTCAAAAGGATTTTCTCCGCTGGGTTTTTAGACGTATTAACCCTAAAACCGAATTACCTGAATATCATGATTTACTATATTATTTTAAACAAGAATCGCTATTTTATAGACGTATTAAAGCCGATCTCAATTTATTTCACCAACATGTTTGTGGGACTATAACAATCAAAAACAATAACTCATATTTTATCAGTAAAGCCAATACCAGGGGGTTCCAAAACATTATAACTATAGCATGTAATACAAAAGCCAGATTCCACTCCTTTTTCGTTAGGACTGCTCGGTTATATAAATTTATTCCTCAACATATGCGCAATTCAACCCCCGAACACTTTAGTCGACTCCTAGTCACTTTTGATATATCCCAATTTATTGACTCACTCCCAAATCACCTTAAAAGACACTTTTGCAATTTTTAAATTATGTTAAGGAAATCGTTTGTTTACGTTTATTTTATTTATTTATCACATTTTTATTGTCTGAAATCGTCGCGCTGTTGCGTATAAATTTGATTTGATTTGATTAGTAAGCACTTTTGCCAAACTTTGATCAAATCTCAAAAAGATTTTGGTAGTTTCAACGATTTTTGGAATTATGAAGAAGCTAAAACAACATTGCACAAATTTTAACGTAAAAATTAGAAAGCTTATTTTGAAAATTTTTATTTTTTTAATGTTAAATAATCCTCAAGTGCCGATTAATTTGGAATCTTATAAAGTCGAGTATGACTTAAATAAACAAAGCTATGATCTTTTGTTTTAATCACTTGCAAGACATTTTACTAAAACTATAAATATGAAGCAGAGCGAATAATAATCCGACTGTAAAAATTTAAAAAAAAACATATATCATTAATTAATAATCTTCACATTCTTTATCTTCAGATTTACTGTTTAAATCAAAAGAATGAATTTTCTTATTTATTTTTGATTTATTATGTCATCCCCAATAATTTTATTTGTCTCTTCCACCTCGATTTGATTTTGCTCATCCACAACATTATTGCATTCTTCCTCCCCTTGATTAAAAAGTTTATTTCCTTCCTCTTCGCAAACAATTGATAACTTAACTAAATTAGAAAAATCATCATTTTGTGGATTAACAAATGAATTTCCTTCATTATCATCTAATTGCACGTTTTTCTTATTTTGCCGGTATTTTCGCTGGTTTTGATTTCGCTTTTCTCTGTTATTTTGGTTATACGTTTTCGCGTTTTTGATTATTCTTTCCTTATTATTTTGGTAATAATTTTTCATATTAACTTTTCTCTTATTTTTATTCATTTTATAGTAATTTCGCTGATATTCATTTATCTTTTCCTTATTTTGTTTTTGGTAATTTTTCACATTTTCATTCAACCTTTCTTTATTTTTCCTGTAATAATCCTTAAAATATTCCTTCCTGTTGCCTCTTTTTTTATTTATACATATCTGTGTCATTTTTAGTAATTTTTAATTTTGGTTTTAACGTTTCTTTATATTTTTGAATTTGAGGATTGACAGACGATTCAGCCCCATCATTTAAAATTTTTGATAAATCCTTTGCCTTGTAATCCTTTTCAGAAGCTAAACGTTTTTGAGTTGGAATAGTTTTGACAAATGCCAATAGCATTCCGATACAGAAAATAGAAGGTTTCATCTTAAACAAATTTTAAAATTTAGTTAAGAATAAATGAAAAATAATAAAATTTAACTTAAAATTTGGTTTATTTAAACAAATTTGACAAGGTTAAAAAGTGTAAAATAGGTATGTTTTCTAACATAATTGAACAAAAATAGTGATAAATAAAAGGTCTCGAAAGCTAGAGTGTCGAAATATCAGACAGGAAATTTACGAGATCTCAAAGTGCAGTCCTTTTTACTCTCATAAATATAAAAACAAGTAAAATTCATTGAAAAGAAAGTGCAAAATCAGAAAAAGCAAATAAGAAGAGGATAAACAAAAGAAAATAAATCAAGATTCTTTTCACAATAGAATTAGACTAATTTTTTCTACTAAGACTGACTGACGACTAGAATTAATATTATTTAACGGGACTGGGCCATTAGGGCGCGGGGCCATTAGGGCGCGAGCTTATAAAACAGTGAGTTACTTATCAAAAAAGATAAAATTTTGCAATAATAACTCTCATGCCTTTATCTACGTTCTCCAAAAATTTCAGAATTTTTGATCAAGAATTTCGGAAATTGTGGCCAAAAATGCTGATTTTCCGAAAAAACCCTAATTTTTCGCAGTCTATCGATTATAACTTCAGAAATATTCGATGAAAAATTCTGAAATTTCTGGAGGAGGTAGTCTAGGATTTTAAAGAAATTTGAGAAAATTTTCATAAATTTCGGTTTCGCCTAAGTCAGTTTCTAGTGCTGGCGCCCTAATGGCCCCGCGCCCTTATGACCCCAACCCTTATTTAACAGAATAGACTAACGACAGACATAATAGAATAACAGACTAACTAACGTAATACACTTGTCTTGTGTGTTCATCTCCTTGTGAATCCAGGCAAAGAATATAAGATTTTTCATTATAACTGATCTTCCATTAGTAAAGTGAAAGTAAAATTATTTTCAACTAGTTTTTTGTCTTAATTCAACATTTTTTTCTATTTTAAAAATACAGTTAATTAATCGTCGAGAACGTAAAACTGAACTTATTGTAACTACAATTTTTATGGGTGGAATTGAATAATTTTATTGCATTTTTAATGACAAAAATTAATTATACAACTTTATGGAACGCATAAATTGGTAAAAAGTCTATTTTTAATAATTTTTCAATTCTTCATCCTCAGGCATCTTGTTCAGATCAAAATGAAATTTTTTCTCGCTTAATTCCTTGTGATTTGTGTCCTCCTCAAGAATTTTATTTTGCTCTTCCGCCTCGATTTCATAGTCCGAATTATTGCATTCTTCCTCCCTTTGATTAAAAAGATGTCCTTTCTCAAAAGTCTCCGCGTGTGTAATTGGTAATTTACCTTTATTAGTAAAATCGCCAGTCTGTGGATTGACAAATGAAGTTCCTGCCATATCAGATTCAACATTTTTCTTATTTTGTCTGGATTTTCGCTGAGATTCATTACACTTTTGTCTATTATTTTGCCTATAAACTTTACGTTTTTTCAGTACCATTTCTTTATTTATTTTATAGTAATTTCGCTGATATTCATTTATCTTTTCTTTATTCAATTCTCGGTAATTTCGATTACATACAAGCATCTTTTCTTTATTCTTTTCATAGTTATTCCGATTCTTTTCAATCATTTTCTTTATTCTTTTGGTAATATTCTTTATCATATTCACTTTTCTTTATTTTGTCCATAGTTATTTTTTGCCCTTTTTTGTAATTTTTAATTTTGGTTTTAACGCTTCTTTATATTTTTCCTTTTGAGGATTGACCGACGATTCAGCCCCATCATTTAATTTTTCTGATAAATCCTTTGTCGTATAATCTTTTTTATCAAGTCTAGCTAAACCTTTTTTAGTTGGAATAGTATTAACATATGTCAATATATCCAACTGATGATTGAAGCGATTAAAAAACTAGATTTTCATCCTAGATAAATTTAAAGATTTATTTAAAAATTAATGAAAAATAATAAAATTTAATTCAAACTTTAATTTATTTAAACAAAATTTGAGAAGGAAATAAAAGTGTAAATTGGGTATGTTTTGTATAAAAATTGTATAAAACTAATGAACTTAGAAAAGTTCAACTAGGCTAGAGTTTAAAAATATAGACAAAAAATATACGAGATCTCAAAAGGCAACCCTTATTACTTTCATAAATATAAAAACAAGTAAAATTCATTGAAAGGAAAGTGCAAAGTCGAAAAAAGCAATTGCTTAATAATTAATGAAATATAAATTGATGTTAAAATTGGCGTGAACTTTAAAAGGTTAACATTATGATCAGTGATGGAAAGGTTCCAGTTCGAGAACCGGTCGGTAAATGAACCGGTTCCGGACGTGGAAAAGGTCTGGAACCGGTTTGAAACCGGGAACGTGGAACCGATAAAGGTCTCAAACCGATTTGGAAGGTTCCGGAACCAGTTCCAAAGATACACCCCTAATGATAGGTGAAAGAAAAAGAAATTAGCAAAAGATGGAAGTCGTGAGAGGAAGAGTAAGAAGAAATTGAGAATTGGGAAAAATAAAGCCAGAAAAATTGGCTTTACAGCGATGCAGACGAAAATTATGTAAAATTTGGGGGTCAAGAAACCACTTTTTCTTCATTTATTGTTAGGAAATTTTCAAAAAATTGCGTGAAAATCTTAAAAATCCGCAACTCGCAATCCGATATTGCTTGCAGCCCTGGTTCTAACGAATGTGTTTTATTGCAATATTGTCAATAATAAACAATAGGTTGACATAGTAGAATGAGTATGAATGAATGACGACTAGAATGACTGTCTAACAGAATACACTAACGACTGACATAATAGAATAACAGACTAGCTAATACAAGACGGATAAAGCCTCAGCTTCTAAAGTCTCACTATACTCTTCTGACTTCGAATAACTTTCCACTAATTTAACTAATCTGCCGAAAATTGTTCATCTCCTTGTGAATTTCGGCAATGATTAAGATTTTTCATTATATCTGATTTTCCATTAGTAAAGTGAAAGTAAAATTATTTTCAATTAGTTTTTGGCCTTAATTCAAAATTTTTGTATATTCTAAAAATGAAATTTTTTAGTCGTCGAGAACGTGAAACTGAAATTATAGTAACTACAATTTTTATGGGTGGTACTGAATAATTTTAATTTATTTTTTATCGACAAAAATTTATTAAACAACTTTATGAACGCATAAATTAGACAAGAGTCTTTATTCTTATTACTTTTCCAATTCTTTGTTCTAAGGCATCTCGTTCAGATCAAAGAGATATTTTTTCTCATTTAATTCCTTGTGATTAGTGTCCTCTTCAAGAATTTTATTTGGCTCTTCTACCTCGATTTTACCTTTCTCTTCCTCACTTTGATTAAAAAGATTTTCTTCCTCAAAACTCTCCTCGCAAACAATTGGTGATTTACCTTTATTCCCAAAATCACCAGTCTGTGGATTAACAAATGAAGTTCCTTCATTATTATCAGATTCAACATTTTTCTTTTTTTGTCTGTATTTTCGCATGAATTCATTACACTTTTCTCTATTATTTTGTTTATATATTTTCTGTTTTTTCAGAACCATTTCCTTATTTTTTTGGTAGTAAATCTTCATATATTGACATTTTTTAGTTTTATTATTTAATCTGTCTTTATTTCTTTTATAGTAATTTCGCTTATACACTCCTCCACAAAAGTATAAGGGCATCTGTATTTTCGCAATTTTTTTAGTTCCAATGATCCAAATTTTTTGAAAATTTATATGCACACCTTTTAGTAAATAACTAATAAGATGTGCAACGATTTTTGGCTGATTTTTTATTTTAAAAATTTTTAGACAAAAATTCGAATTTTCGGCCTCCACAAAAGTATAGGGGCACCTTACAAAAAAGATATTTACAAGATCAGAAAAAATCTACAAAAATTCTAGCAAAGATACATAATGATATTATAAAAAAATAAAAAAGAACTAGACCCATATCTTTAATTGGAGCCGAGATCCTGAGACCTCAAAAATCAACGTAAAACGGGGGTAGGGCTCTTTAAAAAAATTTTTCGCCCCCTTATCGATTATTTCCAATTTTGATTTTGGGCTCATTCGAAAGCCCTTTAAATTTGCTACAAGATAGCAATAACCTTATTTTTCAGAAAAATTCTATAGAGAGACACACGACGATAATCTTCTGATGCAGCAAAAAACGTCTAAATGCCCCAAAAAATGCCCTTTAGAAAGATTATCGTCGTGTGTCTCTCTATAGAATTTTTCTGAAAAATAAGGTTATTGCTATCTTGTAGCAAATTTAAAGGGCTTTCGAATGAGCCCAAAATCAAAATTGGAAATAATCGATAAGGGGGCGAAAATTTTTTTTAAAGAGCCCTACCCCCGTTTTACGTTGATTTTTGAGGTCTCAGGATCTCGGCTCCAATTAAAGATATGGGTCTAGTTCTTTTTTATTTTTTTATAATATCATTATGTATCTTTGCTAGAATTTTTGTAGATTTTTTCTGATCTTGTAAATATCTTTTTTGTAAGGTGCCCCTATACTTTTGTGGAGGCCGAAAATTCGAATTTTTGTCTAAAAATTTTTAAAATAAAAAATCAGCCAAAAATCGTTGCACATCTTATTAGTTATTCACTAAAAGGTGTGCATATAAATTTTCAAAAAATTTGGATCATTGGAACTAAAAAAATTGCGAAAATACAGGTGCCCTTATACTTTTGTGGAGG